GCAAAAGTCTTTTTCATGGTAATGTCTAACAATGAGATGAGTTTAAAATGTGCTTCTTTGGAAGCAAAATTGGATGCCTAAAACCATATGCAAGGTTTGCATGTTGCAAGCGACCGCCCACCCCTGAGAATACCTAAATTATCTAAAAATGGATTTAAAGATAAAATTTTGCTTGTACCAGATAATGATTGATTCTCTGCTTAAAGTGTTAATTTCATTCTTAAATTCAACACATTGCATTAATTTAATTAACACATGCATAGCTTTAGTTAATTCACTTGTTTTTAAAAATCCACTTACCTGATCTTCTGAATTTTTACAGTTATTTACAAACCTCAGACATAATGCTACAACACGTTTAAGTTTAGTGAGAGAAGAATATTTTATAAAATAAATCATGAGCGTCTGTCAAGCGACTGGCAGCAGTTGTTGACTGAAAAGCACATCTTTGCTCTGGCACAGAATCATTCAGTAGTGGTGCAGATAATGCTTGCTGAAAAGGAAATAAATTATACAATAAATCTGGACCACGTAGCCACAATGAAGTAACCAGTGCAGATGATGACACACCACGTGTTGCAAGATCAGCAGGATTAGCATTTCCACTCACATGACGCCACTGGACAGGAGAAGGTAAAGTCTGGATTTTTGCTACTCTGTTGGTGACGAAGGTCTTCCATCGGCTTGCATGGGATCTTATCCAGGCTAATACAATAGTGGAATCAGTATGAAAATAAACTTGCGATATAGGAGTATTTAAAGCCCTACAGGTGAAATCCATTAATTTAGTCAACAGTAATGCTCCACAAAGTTCCAATCGGGAAAGTGATAGGGTTTTTAGTGGTGCAACTCTTGTCTTGACTATTACCAACTGAACATTGATTTGTCCAGTATCTAACACAGAACGATAATAAATTGCAGCGGCGTAGGCCTTCTCTGAGGCGTCACAAAACCCGTGCAGTTGAAACTGGTTATCTGATTCAACCAACAAGAATCGTGAAAATTTGATACTTTTAATGAATAACAAATCTTCTGTAAGTTGTTTCCACTCACATTCAATATCTGGAGGAACCTTTTCATCCCACTGCAACTGATGTTTCCACAATCTTTGCATAATCAATTTATACTGAACCTTGATTGGTGCCAACCATCCAAGAGGGTCAAAGGTCTTTGCAATTATTGAAAGTAATGTTCGTTTGGTTAAGACTTCAGGATATGATGAATTGACTTTGAATAAAAACATATCTGAAGCTGGATGCCGCAGGATACCTAACGTTTTTACAGTATCATCATTGTCTATGTTCCAAGAAACATTTGATAAGCACAAATCTGGATTAATTGAATTCAAGACTTCTTTGCTGTTAGAAGCCCATTTTCTTAGAACAAATCCAGCACGTGACAATATCTGATTCAGTTGCATTTGTAATTTTATAGCTTCAATAACTGAACTGGCTCCAGACATCAAATCATCAACGTAGAAGTCCCTAAGACATGTCTTGAAAGCCAAAGGAAAATTAGTTGCTTCATCTGTGGCTAACTGCTGTAAACATCTTACCGCAAGGTACGGAGCTGATGCAGTACCGTAAGCATTCCTAGTTAATCGAAAATCCTGAATTGCTTTATAAAATGAATCGCGCCAGACTATTCTCTGAAAGTCTGCATCTTTTACTATAATTTGTCTGTACATTTTCTCTATATCTGCAGTTATAGCTATTCTGTGAATTCTGAAACGAATAATAATTTAAGTTTGTCAGATCAGTCTGCAACTGTGGAGCAACCATCAATTTCTCATTAAGAGAAATACCGCTAGAAGAAGATTTTGCAGAACCATCAAATACAACTCGAAATTTATCACCACCATTTTTATCCGGAACTGAATGGTGCGGAAGGTAAAAACTAGAATTAGCTGGAACATCAATTTCATTTCTGGAATCAATTCCATATGACCAAGTTTTTTTGTTGATAGTCCTCCATAAATTTGTGATATTGACCGGAAAGTGATTTATTTCCTAATAAATTGACGTTCAGTGCTTTGTAAACGATGTACAACAACATCCCTTGATGACACAAGTTCATTGCCATTCCCGATCTACGAAATGGAAACTTAACAACAAATCTACCTGTTGAGAATCACGGGAGAAAAATTCCGCCTTGAAATTGATTTTCATTTTCACACTCAATCTTCCTCTTCTGTGTAATGCTTTATCTCCGAAATTTCTTCCAATTTCCAAAATTTTTCAAGCTGGAGCTGAACATTGGTACAACTAGCATGATTTGATACAATTGTCTGTGATACACTTTTAGTCTTTCCGATAATGACCCAGCCAAATATTGATTCCAAGGCTGTTAACGAATGACCCGGAACAGTTAAATGTCCATGAAGCATTATCTCGCCAAATACATCTGTGCCTAAAAGAATATCTATTGGGCCAGGCTGGAAACAATTTGTATCTGCCAACCACAAATGATTGAAAGATGTCGAAACAGATCTATCAACTTGAGATTGAGGAAGGTCACACATGATCTTAGGTATGATTAATGCATTAACTGGAATGCTTGCGTTTTTATAAAATGGAGATGTTACTTGTAATTGAACTGAACCTGAAACCTTTCCAATTTTTTGCAAGCTCAGGCCATTTACACTTATGTTTGCACTAGTGCGCTTTAGCTGCAGTAAATTACACACAGTGCCAGTGCTCCCGAATAAATGAGCCCTGGCTACCTGAATCAATTAGCATCCTGCATTTTTGTAAATCGCCATTAATATCTTTAACATAAACAATCACAGTAGGCAATAAAACTGCTTGCGTAACAGGCACCGTGGCATTATTGCTACTAATAGCAGAAGTTCTGTGTTCCATGGGTATATGACGTTTTTCATCATTTGAATTTTTCGAACATAACACTGTATTATGTGGCTTTGAACAATATTTACACATGCCTGCACGACATTTAAAAATGGGATGCGTTTTACTATCTTTCAAACAATTAGCACATAATTTATTCCTTTAATAATATCCCATTTTTTCTTTGATAGGGAGTTCTAAAAAGCTATCACACATTTAAATAACTGAGAATGAGAATTACTCTTACAATGAACGCACACATTAGCTACAAGTTGGGGACGAAAAAGCATATCTGCTACCTGAACCGCGAGTTTTAATTTCAGAAGGCAAAACTGCCTTCTCCCTCTGGCACTTCGCCAAAGAGGCAATAGCATTCGCTCTGTTTAAAATAAAAACGCTTGAATTCAGCGAAAGCAGAAATTTTCTTGTTTGAATGCTCTATCGTCCACTCTTTTAGTGTTTCATGATCAAGTTTTCCTTTTAACAGAAAAATAATATATCATATCCCAAATGCTACCGGCTGTTTGTTTAAGGAATTTTAATGTATCAATACACTGTTGTGTTGTATCAATTAATCTCCGCAAACCTGAAGCTGATTCATGTTTTAGAACAGGTTGTGAAGTTAATTTATTTTTTAATGCTGCATTTATTATTTCTATTTCGTTTTCATAACGTTCAGTAAGCGCTTCCCATGCCTTTTCATAATTCGCGTTTGAAATTTGAACTGATTGTAGTAAAAACAGCAGCTTCACTTTTCACCTTTCCAGAAAGCTTAAGATATTGCAATTTTTGACTGTCACTTAATGTACTATTATTTCCAACACTGGCAAGAAATAAATCCCTAAATGATATCCAGTCAACATAATTAGAAGTAAACACTGGCTGGCAATTCCACGCGAGGAAGTTTCAAGCCGTTTGGATTAGCATTTATACATTACATCTTTGCCTGAATTACTAAGTTTTCTTGATTCTTCCTTTAAAGTAATTTTTTTTAATACATCTAATTTGGAAAATAGTTCATTCATTTCTATTTCTATTTACTAACATTCTACTAAATTCTGCGTCAGAACAAGTACCAAGAATGTTATCGTTTAAACAGTTCACTTCAACACCTAATGCACCAACATCATTTTCGTATACTTCAATGGCAGAAAAAGAATTTTCTAGATTTTGTAAACTATATACTTGTGAAATTAAACGAGTCAACTTACCCTTAATGATTCGCTTTTACTTTAAAATCGACTCCATATTCCTGCCGCTGTTTTCACAATCCAGACAAAATATAAATCCGTTTTCCTTGCATGAAATGTCCTCCTATACCAGAACATTAAAAACTGTCCTGACACATCACCCAAAGAATTGGGCTGGCTCACGACGGACCATGTTAGCGGATGGAAAGTAGACACAAACGTTCGTTATTGCGTTTATTAGACTGTGTGAAGAATAAGTTCGTACAATAGATATACAGGTAGTTCGGCGCTCGCAGGCGCCCTCTTGCAGGGAACAAAATCAAAATTTACATAAAGTGCGAACAGACTGTCATCTCATATTTTCAGTATTTTGAAAAAATATAAGTTTTAAAAAATGTGCCTTTCCATTTTATTCTTTTGATAAAAACTAAAATACAATAATCTGGTATATAGCCTGAAAAAAATCCAATAAAACTTATGTTTCTATTTGATTAAATTAACCAGAATTTTCTAGATTTTTGTTTTTAATGTAGATGTAATCATAATCACATTCTTTACTTATTATTTTTAATATATGTATGCTTGTGTTATTAATGATTTCTTTTTAATTTTTAATTAGCAAGTTAGTTACTATTCACAAGTTTAAAACCATGTTTTACATAAGAATGTTTCTGAAATGTATAATTTAATGTTAATTGACTTCTAGTGCCATTATTCACATCAAAGTATGCTTGAATTGTTAATTTTAAAATGTTTTCCTTACATGCTGTAAAATTATTATCAAAATACGTTATTTCATGCCTTCACTTCCCTTTATAAAGTATATTTTATTGTAAAATGTGAAGAATTGTTATGAGTGAAAATTTGAAACTTGCAGGACTATTTTTGTATATTAATGCTTTGGTTTATACTACATTAGTATTATATAATTTTTTTTAAGATAATGTATGTTTTTAAACTTCAGGGAAAGTCTTGTCCTCGGATGGGAATTAATGGCTGTTTGTTTGACATTTTTTCCCCCATCCATTAAATTTCAGCCATATCTTGAAGGATACATAAAGAAACATCAAAGCAGTAGCTTAGATCCTCCTGATGTAAGTATTTAATAAAATGAAAAAAATTAAATATGTCTGCGCTATTAAAATTGATTGAGAAATGTTTTTAATATATGTTTTGAACAGGCAAAAATAAAACTCCAAAATAAAGGAATTGGTTTCCTAAGATAATCACTGCTGAACATTGAAATTGTAACATCAAGAAGAAAAAGCCATAAGGTTATGCAAATTGAGGGGATTGTAGGTATAACATGCATGATAAAAGTTTTAAAAACTAAGCTCCTGTCAATGGTATGTGGTTGAGTTTTAAGTGGTGTAAAATGCTGCTCAAAAGCATTTTTGTTCTCCCACATGAGTCTTCAGAACTTGGCTTAAATCTTGTAATTTTATAGTGTGTTGCCTCAGGGTTTCTGAAGTGTCGTTTATTCGCAAGTGGAGAGGGGCAGATTTTTGAACTCAGAGATGTTAATCAGTCCCCAGATCATTACATATTTAGGCTGCAAAGTCAACATTGTTCAGTGTTGTATATCTAAATGGTTGGGAGAAGAATAACAAAATCAGAGGTGAACATTTGCTTAGATGGATCATTGGATTAGAAAAATGGTACACTATGATCTTTACTCTAATATGCATGAATTTAAGTATCACAACTTAATCTCAGGAGATACAGCAATATCTAAACAATTCAAAAATCAATATAAAAAAATATGCTATCATTTTAATAAAGCATTTTTGATCAGCTACTGTAGTGTTGCATAGCAATATTTAAATAATCAAAATACAGTTCACATTTTATTCATCTAAACTCCATGAAACACAGCAGTCTAAAAAGGGTACATATGCGTTTCTTAGGTGTAGCATTGATAGAAATAGTAATAAAAAGATACAGTAGGCATAATAAATATTTTTTTATGTTTAAATTTTGAAAACATTTAGCATTAATTTTAGAAAAAAATTTAACAAAAATTACATTTATGCTTAAAGAGAGTATGTTAAAAAACTAATAATGATGTAACTATTCTAATTTAATATTACATATTAGAATTGCAGTTACTGTTCTACCTTCAAGAACCTATAAAAGATTCTATATCAACTGCAAAAGAAAAGGTTACAGTTATTTTTTTGAGAAAAAACAGATACTTTGATAATTAACTTTGGAAAATACTAATTTTCTTTTGAATGAATTTAGATTTTATTTTTCACACTGTTTGTGTGAGTGAAAGTTTTAAAAACTGCATTGTAAAAGCATTTTATACACAAATGTGTTATTATTAACCTTTGCATTTAATATGTTTTATGATATTACTTGCTACATCAGACCAATAGAGTTTGTTGAAGGTAAGCTGTTAAAAATTAATGATGCAGTTTTAAGAAATATATAAAGAGTTAAAAAAAGGACAAGAAACTTTGAAGATGGTAATATATGGATTCTTGCGAAACAATGCCCAGCATCTTGGATTTATTTGCATCTCGGATTAGCTGTATCATGTCTCAAAAATTGAATTTACAAAATTATGGAGTTATCTATTTCCTCACCATAATAAAATTAAAGCAGTTTTTATATCATTAATTGCCAGAAACCTAATTATAATTTACTGCGAAAATAAGTTTGTAATATGTATTATTTAAATTACTTCAATGCTTTTTATATTGCATGACATTAAATTAAAATTTGCCCATCAATTGAATTTTTATATAAATATCTGCTGTTTATATGATATTTCATACCCTTTTAAATAAAATCTTTGCTTAACCTATATTTGAGCTTAATGCTGTGTTCTAATGGTTTTTCAATTGTAAGAAGTACGAGGGTTGGAACTTTAATAGTGGCAACACAGCTGAAAAAACGCTACGCAACAAACCAAAGAATATCGCGTATACCACACGTGAACTACATACCTACCTTACCTCTCAGCAAAAAGACTTGTCCTGCCTACGTCACGCGCATGCGGAGTGACGCGAAGAACGGATCCTTGTATTAGCTCGCAGTTTAAAGTAAGTGTTGTCGGGATGTTTTCAAAACAAGAACAACGATGTTGGATAAAAATTGAATGTGCCAGAGGTCGTACAGCACGACAGTGTCATCAAGGGCTTCAAGAGGCTTGCTGGGAATCTGCACTGCCTTACAGAACCATAGCAAGATGGGTGAAAGCATTCAATGAAGAATGCCAAAACGTGGCAGACATGCTGCGGTCAGGTCGTCCGAGTGTCAGCGATGCAGATGTGCAAGCTGTTGCCGCACTAATAGACAGTGATCGCCGCCAAACGATTCGTCAGCTGGCCAGACAAACAGGATTACCGCATACGACTGTGTTGCACATTCTGAAGGAACGCCTGTCCATGAGAAAAATTGCTTCACGATGGGTTCCATATCAATTGACGGAAATGCAGAAATGGCTACAATATGATGCTGCCCGAACCCACCTGGAGTGCTATGAGCGCAAAGGAGATGCTTTTTTACGCTGTATCATTACGCTGGATGAGACTTGGGCCTGATCGTACCAGCCAGAACTGAAACGCCAATCAAGCGAATGGCATCATCACGGGTCACCACGACGTTCAAAATTTCGTCAGAACCACAGCAATGTGAAAGTTATGATGATTCTCGTGCACGACTGTGATGGTATCATCCTAACGCATACCGTTCCCCCACAGCAGACCGTCACTGCGCAGTATTACTGCTCATTTTTGGAGCACAATCTCCGACCAGCTTTGAGAAAAAAAAAACGGCGACACTTTCTGCAGAGCGCTCCTCTCATTTTGCATGACAATGCTCGGCCGCATGCAGCGCAAGCTGTGACTGATTTGTTCAAGCGATGGGGCTGGGAAGTGCTTTACCATCCACCATACTCCCCAGAGCCCTTGTGACTATGACTTAATTCCTAAGATGAAGGAACCACTTCCTGGCACTCGCTTCCAAACTGTTCCTGAGATTCTTGTGACAGTAGACCGGTCCATTCAAACTATCAACAAAACAGGCGCTGCTACAGGTATTCTGCGACTTCCACATCATTGAAAACGGGTTGTACACAATGCTGGTGACTATATTGAAGGACTGTAAAACGTGGTGACATGAATCACTTTTGTATTCCTTGTAAATAAATAGTTGCCACTATTAAAGTTCCAACCCTTGTATAAGTCAATGTTGCTAGACAACTATACTTTGCTACATCACAAAAACATAAGAATTTTGCCTAAAAGATCGGATATGGCCATATGGATTTTGCCTAAAAGTCCTAACTTTTATGCTCTATGCCAATTTGGTATAAGAACTGATCAGTCACAGCAAAGGAAATGCAGCTGACTTTTGATTGATGGTTTCACTTGGTCAGCTGCACATTTATGCATACTCAACTTTCCCTTCCCTGAGTGGTTATAACTTACACCATATTAAAGGGGTATGAATGACTTTTATGCCCTTAACCACAAAGCCTTATGATCAAAAAGCCTTCATGTGAGGAGAAAATAGGATTAGAGGAGAAAATGCTATATAAAGATTTTAAGGAAAGATTGTAAGTTTTTTTTAACTGTAAAGTTACAAATTAATAGATTAGAATTGTATTTCCTCTAATATTAGATAAGTCTATCGATGTTTATATTGTAAGATCTATGCTAATGTAGATTATTATTATCAAAACATAAAATATCAACAAAGTTTTTAAGACTCATTAAAGCTGTAGACTTAAAGCAACTCAAAATATTAAATATAAACACGAACAAATTTAACTACGAATGAAGGTAACTTATATTATTAATCAGAATCTAAAGAAAGGTTGAACAATCAGAATGAAAAATGAACTGAAAAGCATTAATAATTAAAGAAGCAATGAATAAAGAAAATAAACTACCAGCTTAAAAGCTCAACAGCGTTAACAATCCTAGGATAAGGAAGTACCTGACAATGGATTGACAATAGAAATTCGTTGAAAAATAATAAGATAAATTAACTGAGAATTAATTAAAAGAATAAAATCTAGATTTGAACAATGGAAAATTAGGATAAGATTCTTGTCAGAATTAATTTAGATAATAATCAACCTAGAATCGAATTACAGTGCATAACTTACAGAACTTACGGTGACTGAATTTATGATGATATCAGAGGTCATGTGAGCTCATATCACAAAACAATTATATGTGCTACATTTTTCTGCTTTTCTGTTCTCAAAAGCGTAAAATTTTCTCATAGTATTGGGTGCATATTGTATCTATCAGTTTGATTTGGCAACTGTATCAGAATACACATGTGCATTTATGGGATAGCTACATCTGTAGCTAGGAGTCAGGTAGTTCTTATAGAATAGACCATTGGCTGGTACAGTTAGATAAAGCAGCAATGGAATAAGTTAAAAAACAGACCCTGTTTTCATTAGAAAGGCTTTGGTACAGATTCTTAGCACTTATTGCAATGGAATAATGAAGACTGAAGCATTGTAGGCCAGACATTTGGAGCATACAGTTTAATTCAGAATTCAAACAACAAAAATCAGCGTTATAGTTTTCAAATTTTCACAGGACTAGTTTCGATTGTTTAACCGAACTTGCAGTTTAGTTCCTACACTTTAGTTCCTACAACTACTTACAGTTTAGTTCCTACAAGGTTGTCAGAATACACATGTGTATTCTGGCAACAGCAAGTGCAGGTACAACTGTACTCCAACACTATTCCACATGATATGATGAGATGCATCCTGAAATCCCTTCTGAATAGCCTTACGAAATGCATCCTAGCAGAAGAAGGACACTCAGGGGACATTATTTTGAAAGTTCACTGATATTTGTCTATATTATACACTGCAATAAATACTTTTGTGTATACATTATTTCATTTTCATGTAAAGTTAGTTACATTCAGCATTCCTCATTTAGATACAAGATGCACCATTCTGTAGATCGGGAGACATACATACTGTGAATTATTTTTTTTATATTTTAATGGAAGAAAATTCATAAATAAAATGCAACTTGAATATTTAATTCCCTTTTTCTGCTCTTAAAATTTAAACATTTAATTAAAAAATAAAAAAAGAACTTTGTTTTTTGTTTGTAATTTTAATGTTTTCTTTCCAGTTGAAAATAAGCCAGTACGCTTTAGTTTGTGGGAAAAGATTAGAACAAATTTCTCATAAAGGTGCTGCCCGAAGCTTGAGAAAGCCAACTGTTGAAGAAATTGAACAATCTAGAGTATGTAAATTTAATAATTGGAAAAAAATACTGTCTGGCATCAGTTGTCATAAGGATATGTAAAACAGAAATAGACCTTTCAAAAATTCATAATCAGAACATTAGATTTTTAATCTTCATTATGCAATTGAAAGCAAAAAAAAAAAAAAAATGTAAATTAGATCATTTTTATTATTACTGTCTTATAGCTCTACATTTATAGTAACAATACAATTTTTGGTGTTACTCTTAATGTTAAAATAACTTATCTGGAAATATTAATTTTTTAAGGACTCTCCCATGAATAGAAGTGGGGATACTGCTGGTTAATTGTAAAACATTTTGCAGAATTCTGTTATTCTCACTATAAAAACCTTCTGCCAATTTATCTATCTACTTACATGTGTGCTTACACGCATTTTGAATTCTTGATCATGTGTGCAAATGAAAATGAACATGTATAGGTACTTGGAAAACTTAAACAAATAATTTTTGCTGCTTAACTTATGTATTTAGAAATAAGTATAAAGAAAGCACACAAACTCTTAAAATGAGCAAAATTAAAGCTTAATTTCTCATTAATTTTAAATAATAACCTTCAAAATATTTTTTTTATGTAGAAAGACAAGCATAGGATTATCTTTTTAAATGTATAGAGTTCTAACATTAGAATAGTGGCATTACTAAAACACCATCATTCTAAGCTTAATTTTGCCAAATTTTAAAATTTTTATTTTTGACATTTTAAGGTATATTACTTTATACCTATTACTTCAACAACGTTAAAAAATTTCTAGTTTATATAAATATATAAGATCTATAAAAATAATTAATTCCAACTTTAATTTTTTAGGTTCAGATTTTTCGGCCTTCAATGTTTGGTAACAGCCTTGAGGAAGTGATGGCTTTGCAAAGAAAGAGATATCCTAATTATTGCCTTCCATGGATCCAAACCACATTATCCGAAGCAGTTCTACAGTTGAATGGAGCACAAACTGAAGGAATATTCAGGTATTATTTTCAAATCTTTAGTACTATAAAGAGATTATTATAATCCATCCTCTCTTTAAAAATATACTACAGTCAAAAGTCGTTAATCCGGACTCGTCGGGACTTCGACGATTCCGGATTATCGATTTTTCCGGATTATAGATCATCAGTTTAAATCTCGTAAGATGGCATGCGGTAATTCTAAAATTAAAAATATGAAACCGTAATTTATGAAATAAAGAACAATTATGATCTAAAGGGTATCAAAATTTACAAAAAAAAAAAAAAAAAAAAAAAAAAAAAAAAAAAAAAAAGCTTAATATTTATTTGTTTACTTTATTAAACATTTCTCTCAATGTAAGTTGCTTCATTTTATGTGATAATACTTTCTCTTTAATTCTATAAAAAGACATAATTTCTTGTTCAGTTACAAAGTTCCGCTGTTCAAGTCCCGTTAATTGCTGTGCCGAGAATACCGACTAACTTGTCAATCGAAATTTTTTCGTTTTCACTAACCTCTCTGTCACATTCTTCATGTCTTTATCCATTTTTTGCATCAATTCCACTTTTTGTTTCTTGGACATCGAAACATACTTTCGTTTTGTAGATCCTTTGGAAGTTCCAGCATCGGAAATTCTATTTGACATAATCGAAAGTTCAAGTTTACTTTTATAAAATTGCTCTTACAGTCTGCAAAAAATAATAAGCGGGATACAATTCAAAGATTAAGGAACAACGCAATCATTAACATTAACTGAAATAGATTATATAATTTTAGCTTACACCGTCCGTTATACATTAAACGCGCAGGCGAAAACGTATTCTGCATTTGCGCACACGCATATGCGCAGTAGTCAAGGTCTTACGCGCACGCGTAAAATGCCTGTGCCAACGCGGCGCATGCGCAGAAAGTTTTTAACTTTGAAGTCCGGATTATAGATCATTCCGGATTATGGGTGTCTGAATTAACGACTTTTGACTGTATTAAATAATTAAGTATTATTTACTAAATTATCTAACTGTATATTGCTGCCTTTGTATTATTAATTGAATTCCTAACTGTATGGTTACAACTGAAATTTATGGGGCTATGGAGCATACGATTGCTTCTGTCATTGGCTTAGCATTAGGTAACTTACAGGCAGCAGTGCAACTTTAGCTTATTCTTTCTCAGTTTTGAAAGATAATATCCAGGGAAATGGTCCAAGTGCCTTCCTCTCCACCTTTCTTCACCACGAAACCTTTCAAGACAGCTGTTGACTCACCATGAATTTTAAGTTCCTTAATGACGCAGAAGTACTATTGTTTATAAACATCTAAGCCTTGAAGAATGCCAGGAGGATTTGAACCTGGGCCCAATGATGTGGCAGCCAACAATGCTAACCTCTGTATTGACCAAGACAGGAGAATTACTAATTTTTTACATATATGCGGCAAAGTGGTTTTGGGCTCGGATCAATTGTGGGTAAGCATGGCTGCCCAGCCATTGTGGTGGTTAATGATGCTGATTACTAAACCAGTAGGGTTCAAATCCTAGAAAAGGCATGGATGTGTGTAATACCCTCTTTTGTTCTGTTTTACAAATGGTCTGGAACTCCACAGTTAGTGTGGTGGAAATGTACCTGTATCAATTATGGTGAAATTCTGGTATCCCACCAATGTCTGTTTGGGTTTGTAGCCATGTGCATAGCCAGAAGGGTGCAGTTGCATGCACCTCCTAAACAAATGCATTTTTTCCCCCTGCTCAAATATTAACCTGCAAAAGCTTCTGAAAAATGTGTTCTCTTATCATTCTGTTGAACTCTTTTTCAGTGCAAAAATTTAGAGACCCTGAATGGTAATCTTTTTCTGACTCTCCAGTTTGTCATGCAAATAATCAGCAGTCAGCTGTCACTTGATATCGGGATAGCCTTTTATCAAGGCTCATCTTAAAAGATACAGATGAGCAGTGGGTAATTGGTTGTTATTTCAGGAGTTTTCTGTGAATGATATTGTATTAGAAACTCAATATAGCAGAGAGTGGTTACTTATATGCATGAGAACAAATACACACAACATATCTTTTGGGAGTTTGAAACACAAGTGAGTTTTTATTGGATATGCACAGTTATAGAAGTATATAAACCAGGGGCGCCATCTATGGGCCTAACTTTTTTACACTCCCACTTTAGATTTAAATATCAAGTGTCACCCTGATTAAATAATGTACTGCCATTGCAGGTACGTGAAAAGTTTCTAGGCAGTCTGATTGGTAGAAGAATCAAAAAATTGGTTTCAAGGTTTGATCCAAACAAATAGAGAAACCGGGTAAAATACAACTTTGTTAAAAAAAATAATAATTCATAAAAAAAATTAGTATTTTGATTTGATTTTTTAACTACTTGCTTGGAGTTTTCTCATCAGGAAATAATCTTCAGTTTCTTTGCTAAGATCCCTCAGTGACCGAGTTGATAAGATAAAATTTTACATAATTTTACCTGTTTATAATCCCAGAGCTCATGTATTTTCATCAGAGTATTTCCTGATGCTAAGAAAAAATGCCAAGGCCACTAGATTTTGATGTTTACTGATTTTTGCTGACCCTTAATTCATGTTCTTCTGGATAAGTTCTGGAGAAAGTTATGTATTTCTATCTTTTAAATGATTTCCTGCCCCAGTGCCTTGGCAAATTTATGTGAACTCTGTATTCCAAAAATTTATAATGTCTTCTTTCTTTTTCTTTTTTTTTTTTTTTTTTTTTTTTTTTTTTTTAAGTTCAGCTATAGAAACACTGAAAAATTTATGTGCCAAAGGAAAAGCAAAAATTTGTTTCACAGTATAAGCTGTCATATCGCAGTGATGCCACACAGATAAACTACTCAGTACCAAATATCTAGTGCTTCATCTTAATTTGGCAGTATCATCGCTATTGCTAGTAATATAGCTTGGAAACTTTGGAAATTGTGTAGCTTAAGAGTTCTCATGTATTCACTTATGCTGTCGGGTATTCAAAAGTAATGTGATTTCTAAGATTAGTTAAAGCACTTTTTTTAAAGAACAAACTTTTTTAAATATTTATTCATTCTTTGAAATCACATTATTAGGTTGCTTTTTCAGTGGTTTGTAGCCTTTATTTTTTCATTATATTGTAATATTGAAAAAAGTACTAGGGTAATAATGATTGATCAATGGGTTTATATCTCTAGATGCATTCTGCTTTTTTAAAAATGTCCTGTTTTTGTTTAAAGCTCTTTTTATTGATATAAGTGTGCATTTTTTTCAGAGTACCTGGTGATATTGATGAAATTAATGCAATGAAAATGAAAATCGATCAGTGGGAACTTATAGAGTGTGATGATCCTCATGTTCCAGCATCTCTTCTAAAACAGTGGTACAGAGAATTATTTGAGCCTCTCATACCTGCAGAATATTATGAGGAATGCATTTTGTATTGTAGTGATCCCGATGCGGCAATAAGAATTGTGAAGAATTTACCAGAGCTGAACCGATTGGTGTTTTCTTATCTTATTCGATTTCTTCAAGTAAGTGTATAGTAGAATCTTATTTTATTTTATTGGGGGGGAGTGTAATTTTGTATAACAAGTTTATGTAATAAATTCTCATATATACTAATATTAGATGTGCATAAAAATGATTATAGTAGCCATAAAAGTTTAAAGGGGGTATTACGAGGGTTGGAACTTTAATAGTGGCAACTATTTATTTACAAGGAATACAAAAGTGATTCATGTCACCATGTTTTACAGTCCTTCAATATAGTCGCCAGCATGGTGTACAACCTGTTTCCAACGATGTGGAAGTCGCAGAATACCTGTAGCAGCGCCTGTTTTTTGATAGTTTGAATGGACCGGTCTACTGCCGCAAGAATCTCAGGAACAGTTTGGAAGCAAGTACCACGAAGTGGTTCCTTTATCTTAGGAATTAAGTCATAGTCACAAGGGCTTAGATCTGGGGAGTATGGTGGATGGTAAAGCACTTCCCAGCCCCATCGCTTGAACAAATCAGTCACAGCTTGCGCAAGTCTCATCCAGCATAATGATACAGCGTAAAAAAGCATCTCCTTTGTGCTCATAGTGTTCCAGATGGATTCGGGCAGCATCGTATCGTAGCTATTTCTGCATTTCCGTCAATTGATGTGGAACCCATCTTGAAGCAATTTTTCTCATGGACAGGCGTTCCTTCAGAATGTGCAGCACAGTCGTATGCGGTAATCCTGTTTGTCCGGCCAGCTGACGAATCATTTGGCAGCGATCACTGTCCATTAGTGCGGCAACAGCTTGCACGTCTGCATCGCTGACACTCAGACGACCTGGCCGCAGCATGTCTGCCACGTTTTGGCGTCCTTCATTGAATGCTTTCACCCATCTTACTATGGTTCTGTAAGGTAATGCAGATTCCCCGCAAGCCTCTTGAAGCCCTTGATGACACTGTCGTGCTGTACGACCTCTGGCATATTCAATTTTTATCCAACATCGTTGTTCTTGTTTTGAAAACATCCTGACAACACTTACTTTAGATCGCGAGCTAATACAAGGATTCGTTCTTCGCGTCACTCCGCATGCACGTGATGTTGGTAGGACGAGTCTTTTTGCTGAGAGGTAAGGTAGGTATGTAGTTCATGTGTGGTATACGCGATATTCTTTGGTTTGTTGCGTAGCTGTTTTTTAGCTGTGTTGCCACTATTAAAGTTCCAACCCTCGTATGTCAATATTCAAGTCTAAAAAGTTATTACAGTGGTACATTTTGATTACTTGGACACCACTTTTTGCCAAACATAAATGAAACATGAAATCTAACTGAAGATAGGAATGACAACCATACAGATCATGAAAATATGCCTATTTTATTAAATTGAAAATAAATATTAAGAAATAAAGTTTGACACAGAAATACATGTATAAGAACACATGTAATTATTTTAGTTGTCAGTTGTACAACATTTCATTTCTGGTTGCAATTGACAGAATTTGATCAATATAGGCTTTTGATGCGAGACTTAAATAAACCAAATAACTTTTTGAAAAGTAATGTGCAAATATATGAACCAGCTCTAACTCTAGACATCTTTCTTCATCGCATTATTATTTTTTTTATTTTATTTATTTATTTATTTATTTTTGTGTGTGTGTGTGTTGCAGAGCCATTTTGATGCTTTGATAGTTGTAGTGTTTTTTGAATGAAATATTTCAATACAGATAATATCTTTGCCTTGGAAGAATTTTAATTGTCACTGTTCTTCATTTTGCAACTGTCAAGTACTGTAATGCACGTTCCCTCCCCTCTCTTTTAAAAAATATCTAAATTAAGATATTAGAGCAAAAATTTTTAGGATATTCTTTCTTCCCACTTATTTACAATGACATCATTGCATAAACTTATGAGCTGAAATGTACAGATTACCATGTTTGGTGCTTTGGTATACGGTTTCCGACTGGTGCTCCATTAACTGAAAATTATCTGTAATTGGCATGCTCTATTTTTTTATGTAATTCTGAGTACTTTACATTCTCTTTTCTAAAGGTATTTGCTGCAGAGGAGAATTGTGCTGTTACAAAAATGGATGCAAAAAACCTAGCAATGGTTATGGCTCCAAACTGTTTACGTTGCACCTCTGAAGATCCATCTGTAATATTTGAAAATACTCGTAAAGAAATGGCATTCATTCAAACTCTCATTCAACATTTGAATACAAATTATATGGAAGGTATTATATAAAGACAATTTGAAAACACTTATAGTGTTATGTTATTTGTTGAATGAGTACTTGAAACAAAACAAAGTGTATTTTAACATGAAAAAAAAAATTAGAATTATTGTAATCATGAGTGTTTCGAAAATATTAAGGAAAATTTGCTCAGCAAATAGTAATGGTGCTATTTCCCTTCACATTTTCTCTTTTTCTGATTTCTAGTAATTAAGATACATATAAAAATTGTATTATTGTACTGGGATCAAGATATATAGGTGCTTATATAATTCTTATGGAACTTTGAAATTTTTTATATTGCTTAAATTAAACTTTTTGAATTAAAGTACTTATAACTTAATAATGTTTCCTTGTGGACGTGAAAGTGTCAAAGAAACATTGAATGTATTTGAGATTGTATATTAAGATAGGGATTATACAAGGGGTGATCAAATGAAAAGGTACGAAACGACACAGTGGGTACAAATGTAGACTTTATTCAAAATATACACCATAAGCCCGAGAACAACAATCTCACTGATGAACAAGCCGCAGGATTCCTTATTCCCAGAATTCTTGTGGCTGTGACGAGACACAGTCCTTCTCAGCGTCCTTGAGTACGTCGTCCGAGTTGAAGCGCTTCCCTTTCAGGTGTTTCTTCAGTGGACCAAACACATGGAAATCGGGGGGCAACATGTCCAGACTGTAGTGTGGATGGTCCAACGTCTCCCACTTGAACTTGGCCAGTTCCATGTGTGTGACTCTGGAGACATGTGGACGAGCATTATCATGGAGCAGAACCACACCCTCCTTGAGCAGCCCCGATCTTTTGTTCTTGATGGACCTGCGGGCTCAGAGTGTCAACATCGGAGTTAATGGTTTTTCTGTGCTCGAGGAATTCCACAAGTAGTGGACCTGACGGCACGGCTTTGAACTTTTTAGGGGGAAGAGACGACGCATGCTTCCACTGCATGTTGTCCCACTTTATCTCTGACTCATAGTGATGGCACCAGGTCTCATCACCTATGACGATCCGCTCCATGAAAGCAGGCTCTTCCTGATACCAAAACAGATGTTGATACCTTTTGCTGGTTGGTGAGCTGCTTCGGAACCCAAGCGGCACACACCTTCCGATATCGCAACCTGTCATGAACAATTTGTCCACACGGTTCCATAGCTGACATCCACCTTCACCACCAACATTCGCAATGTGACACGCCGATCACTTCTCACTAGGTCCTCCACCTTGTCGAGGAGATCGCTCGTGGTGACAGTTTTTGCCTGGCCTGGTTTCGGGTCATCACCCACACTCTCACGGCCTGCACGAAAAAGGGCACTCCATTTTCTGACAGACTTGTCAGAGACACACTTCTCCCCATAAACTGTCACCATCCAGCGATGAATAGCTGCCAGTTTCTTACCTTCCACTGTCAGAAATCGGATAACACCTCGCTGCTCCTCACTCGTTGAATTTTGCAACGCGAATGCCATCGTGTCCTCATACGGACTGCTGCATCATATGGACGCCGCTTTTGATAAGAGCCCCTGCTCTCTCCTGCTCATGCGGGTGACTGCGTATGCTCCGATCCCAGTCAGAGACTCCTATCGCATCCCGAGATGTCTTGCTACGTTCTCCCATGGCGGAATATGCAAATATTTAGCTGTTACGTTTTTACATCGTTTCGTACCTTTTCATTTGATCATCCCTTGTAGTATAGATAAATTTACTTATACTGAAATGCTTTAGAAATTAATACTTACCAGATTTTAATCTCATTCTAAGGTTTATGATATTGACTTTTTTCATATTGGCAGCATTTGAAAGTAAAACAAAACTGAAATATGAAAGGTAAACCGAATTTCTGTTTATCCAAAAACAAAACAGTAACCTTCTCTTAAAATATATTTTAATATATTTTATTATTTTTAATGTGCATTTGCGCTTTTATACATGAGTGTATTTGGTTTAGTTAATGTTGTTTATGTATTGAAAAATATTGCAATTTAGTTACTGGTAGTGTTAGTATCCAAGAGCATATATGTATTGTTATCAGTACAAATTAAAGTGGATTTTTGAACAATCATGTTGCATCAAAAAAATTTTGTAAGCCGTTGAATTGTCTTAAAATCTGTTAATGTAGGTATGTAGCTGCCTTTAAAAGCAATTTCTAGTTGAAATGTTAAAATACTTTCTTAAATTTTCTATAAAAGCTTTTTAAAATTTAAAGGATTTCAAGTAGAAATAGGCTCAATGCATATCAAAAAGAATCGTAAGTGTTTATGTCACTATAACAAAGCTAAAATAATTAGCAAAAATTTTTTGGCTCCTGAAGGAGAGGATATGTCTGATCACAGTCGAAAATGGTAGTGTTTTATTTAAAATCTGTGCCAAACTAAATCTGTTCTTTCATCCCCCTGATTTTTAAATCATATTACTTGATTTTGGTTATGGCTTTGAGTTTGCTATATTATTTGTGATAAGCACAGCCAATTCTTTTTTTATTATTTTGTGTTTTGGATATGTTTGATAACACTCGGAAATAATAGCGTTTTATTTAAAATCTGTGCCAAACTAAAGCTTTTTTTTTTTCGTAATTTAAAATCGTATTACTTAATTTTGGTTTATGGCTTTGAGTTTGCTATATTGTTTGGTGGCAATTCTTTTTTTATTTTCACTTTGGAATTGAATGGAAATATAAACCAAATATCTGATGTGGACAACATATGACTTCCTTGTACAGCTTATTGAATAATACTTTTTTTTTGTACTTATTTCTCCGAATTTCATTAGAGATAAATTTTTCATTTAATCAATTCAACTTAGCAGGAAGGCAAAAATACATAAAAACCCATAATATCTTCATTAAAAATTGTAAAATACAGAAAAACCTAAACACCGAATACAGTTTTAAAAAAAAATTAGAATTAAAATTAGAGTTTCTACACTAAAACAAGCAATTCGGACAGCAGGCAGGAAGGCTAAATGTTCAGTGCACAAATTTCAGAGTTAACTTTTGGCTCCATTGAGCAGAAAGTTATTGAACTTAGTACACCATCTGAATTCACAATTTTACTAAAAATTTGAAATGTAAACAAATGGTGGTCTCGTTAGGCCTAGCACCACTTAAACTTTTAAATTAATGATAGTTTTAAAACTATTGCTTGCAGGTTAACTAAAGGCATAGAAACCTTAACCAAAACATAATTCAATCACTTTAAAGCAAGGAAGGTACAATTTACCATCATGTAAGAATAAAAAAAAAAAAAAAACTGAGCTCACTAAGCAAAGTAACAGAGTGAGAATGTGTGTGTATATACATATGTAAGTTTGGTGTGGACAGTTGCAAAAAAAAAGGGGGGGGAGGTGGACAACTGGATCTTATAACAGTCCCATGTACCAAATTTCAGTGTTCTACGGTTACTCATTTTCAAGTTATGTAAGTTACATATTACTTACTTACATATAGAGGTCATAAAAAAATCTCTTCTGAATCCATTTTACAATCCATTCTGGAAAAGAGAATCCTTTATTCTGTCCATGTGTAGAGATATGGAAAGAAATCATTTAAATGAATTTGAGAGTGGCCAAAATGGATAGTTTTGTTGAAACATGATATCCAAAATTTTTCATGATTAAAATACCGCCTTTATTTCAGACAAGGAAGTAAAAATTGAGGATTTTTTTTAATATGCAGGCATAAACATTTAGTTGGCAGTCAAGATATGATAACGGTTATCATTGAACAAGAGATTGTTTTATGTATTTAAATTATATACTGAGAATGGTTTTAATTACCTTAAAATTGAAATATGTATCAGGATATTTTTGTAAATATGAAAAATTTTACATATTTAAATGCCAAAGACATTATAATTTTACATATTTAAATGCCAATAACATTCCTCTTGACTTTTATGTACAGTGTATACGTTTACTTATAACTTTACAAATTTACCGATAAGTAAAAATTTTTTTATATTTTGAAAATTTGAGTAATTGTAAATAAATAATTTGTATTTCTGCACATTAATGGGCACAGTAACTTGCTAAATATCATATTTGGTTTATAAACAAGCATGGTGCTGTAAATATCTAAACAATGAAATACATATATTTATAACTAAAAGAACACATGAAGCACAAAACTTATTGATATTATAACAACAAGGCATCAATGTAATGTGCATAAATTGCAGGAATATGGTGTAAAGGTTAAGTAGAACCTTCTTTCTTAGCTGCAGAAGTTAAAATGGTAAGGAGGAAATTTGCTAATGGGATGAAAACAGACAAAAAATTCAAGAATTTTCCAACTAAGGACGAATAAACAAAGTGTCTTTGTTGCCATCTATTAACAAAAAGTGGAAGTAACTATGAAATACTTTTGAAAAGCTGAAAGTAAAAATGGATTTGAATTGGAATAAATTAATCACAAGTGAAAGATTTCTATGTATGTGAGGGGCCTGTAGTAAATCTAATTTACTGCAAAAGATGGTTTTGTATAATTTTAGCTACAGAAAAATGGAAACTGTGATTTTGGGACCAGCTATATCTGTCAGTGGAGGATTTATAAATTTCTTTTTATGAACCCAGGACTTTATATCCGGATAGGCTTTTTATGTATCAAACTGCAAATTTTTATGAGCAGAAGAAAAAAATGATATTAGAGAAATTTCTATAAAATATGTGCAGTTGTGTAACTAATCAATGGAAAGAAAGAAGTGACTAATGAAATTCTTAAAATCACTCAAAACAAGGTGAAATTTTCTTAATCGCTTCAAAGAATAGAAGGGAATTAGATATCTCAATGCTTAATGTACTTTATTCAGACTCGCATAGGCTTGAAATTATGCTCTAAGGAGCATGAAACATAGATTAAGAAAGAGCTTCATTCATTGCTGGTCAAAAAATCACACTTTCCATTTCTCTGCAGTCAAAAGTAATTCAGAAAAAGATCTTCCATTGATAAATTAAATTTTCCTAGAGGCATTTCACATTTATAAAAGCCTTTCAGTTCTGGTTAAGGATCCCAATTCTAGTTTGTTTTTACCTTCAGCATTTCAAGGAATTATTTAACTGTTGCCCTCCTCCTTTTTTTTTTTTTTTTTTTTTTTTAATGCTAACAGGTGTCACCAGATGTTTCACTTTCTGTTCCTTGGAACCTTTTTTTTTTTTGTTGTTTTGTTGTTGTCTATTGATATTTCGTGAGCAGTTCTATTTAACCATTGAAACTATAGTCCTGCAAATTTACACATGTTACTCTGTTTTGTGTTGCTATAGTATCTACAGTATAAATGTTATATGTACTAAAAAAAAATCTTGAAATTGACAAAATATTTTCTGAAGTGAATATAAAGGATTATGCAATGTGAATCATCTCGAAAATATTAAAGTCATTTTCCTATTAATTGTCTTGGGAAATTGAATAAAATTTCAAAGAAACTGAATATTTTATTCAGGAGATACAGCTAAATAAAAAATGAATAAATCAGTTAGGTGTTGGCCCAGGGTTCGTAGCCGTCCTTACAAGTGCTTATAAGTCCTTATATTTGAAAATAAAATATAAAGGCCCTTATTGGTGCTTACTTTTTCTTTAAAGCCCTTATTTTTTTTGTTTTTAGTGCTTATTTTTTGCTTTTAGTGCTTTTTTTAATGAACGCGCATTTTTCCTCCCTGTACCAAAGCCGAAAACTAAATAAACAACTTTTCTTCCTTATATATGGAACGTCAGATGGTGAATCATACTCCCGGAAATAGCTTTTCTCCCCTTTCTCTGCATTAACATAACCTATGGTACGCACGAGAGTATAGACAGGTGCACGTCGTTTTTTTGGTCAAAGAATTGCGAAAACGGTAGAAAATTCCGGTACATTCGGTAATTCTTTCCTCCCACCCAAATACTACACACGTTTGAATTTCTATCAAGATTTTAATAATTTGCATTCTCGTTCCAGCATGGTCAGTTCATATTCGTGTTTGTTATGATCGTTATGCTTATATTATGAGCATATGTGCATGAATATTTATAATAATATAGTTGCAGTAGCTGCTGAAGTGTAGATAAACTTCCAAAAATGGGTGTATTTTTACACAGATTAGCTTTCTAAAGGAATAATATTCGGAATGGCTTAAGTAAATAGGAAAGTAATCGAATAGTCAAAATATTTTTTTTTTTTAATCCCAATACATTATACAGTACAGAGGTTGGGAGGTTCTCCCCTTTCTCCGCAAAATCTCTAATATTGAAGCAGCGGACTTTTTTTTTTTTTTTTTTTTCACTGTGCAATCTGGATTGAATAGGACTAAAAGTTTTGTGGTCTACCCAACCCAAGCGAAGAATGAAAATTGCGGAAATTTAACGCAATCTGTTCAAAATTAGAATCAAAAACACCCCAGATTAGTAAGTCTCTTTCTTTTCCTTTATTTAGTTCTTTATTCTCCGAATACTGGCAGCTGTTGATTCTGATTGCGTAATATATCATATGGAAAATGTTTGCGATATTTTGCAGAGATAATTAATTTTGATGTTCAGTCTGAGATTTATTTATGAACACTTAAAAGAGTTTTACTGTGCTTTCTAAGCAGAATATTTCTCAGTTCCGTTGGTCTATTTTTATATGATGCACATATCGAAATGTAAAAATCATTTATTTAGCCGAGAAATCTAAAGAACGGCTACAATCTCCGCCCCCCTTCCTCTTTTTCCAGTTACGCTTGACTATACGGAATATTCGGCAATTTCCGAGTATGCGGGTTAGTTAAGCTTTTACTGTTTAAGGATGACTGCATGAAGCAATTTCCCGTCTCCTGATTTCAGAAATGTTCCTCTTTTTTACTTAAATTACTTTGCTTGGAATATATGTTAAGGGAAAACTGTTATGCAATGAAAATTTAGAAAATGTTCAGAATTTTGATTTAAATTATTTAAATATTAATATGAGTGGGAAAATAAATTGTATTTATTATTAGGTGCCAAGCGAATACAATTACTATGGCTTATTATTATTTAATTTCTATATTTTGAACTGAAAATTCATCATTAAATCTTGTAATATAGTTTAGTTCTGCATAGTTTTTTTTTTCTCTCATTGTAAACTAATTCTGTAAATTGAACTGTCATTTATTTAAAAAAAAAAAAGTTGTTTTCCATGGTTGAGGTAATGCTCATTCTCTTGATAAATATTATTGCATTGCTCATTTTTTAAATTGCAAGTCTAATTTTTCTTTTAAGGTTATGCAGTTGTGTATAATGTAATTAGACAGGTGCTTATTTTTTTTCTTAAAATGTGCTTGAAAAGTGCTTATAGGTGCTTATTTTTTTAACTAAAATGTGGCTATGAACCCTGTGGCCCTTATTTCAAGTTGTTATCCAGCTTAACATTGACTTTTGTGACTTGGCAAGGTAACCTGTGGAAGGATTCCATATCAGACACTCTCCAGATGTTAACTTAGATCAGTGATATTCTGGAACAATCAGAGGTACCTGCTCATTAGATATGAAACATGCTCTGTTGGGATGAGATCTGGTAATCTAATTGGGCCAGCATAAACTAGTATTTAACAAGCACGAAGACAATCAATAGCAGGGATGGGCCAACTATGGCCTGCCGGAAGGTTCTATCCGGCCCGCAGATAGAAGAAAAGAAATCTATATATTTATATATTATATATCTATCTCCTTTGCTACTTTGTTTAAATATTACATTTTTTTCTTCCCCCCCCCCCCTTTTTTTTTTTTTTTCAAAGGACTTGATG